GCATTCAAGATTGAGTGGAATGCAGGTTTTTTAGTTTGTAAAGAGCATGCAGCAGAGCAAAGCCTATACAGTAGGTTATGAGTCTGATTAAAGGGCTGTGGGGCCTAAGGCTGTAACTGCAAGTGGGCCTAAATACTCTGTATTAAAAACCATAAAACCAGATTTTCTGTTATTTTTCCTGGGTTTCGGGGTGTCTATTTTTCCTCATTGGGGTCTGTGGGCCTGGGGCTGGTGCCCCAAAAAGCCACTATGTTAATCTGGCCCTGAAGTCAAGAGAGCCAACCTGCTTTAAGCAAGCAGAGAATGTTAACAACAGGTTAGCTTACTTTGCCCATTGTTAGATCTTCGCCTTTGGCTACGGCTCTACTCCTTGCAGCTTTTGTGATTATCTTACCACTTCCAGTCTTTTCACTGATTGCCTTAAGTCTTCGAGATTTACTATTTTCACTTGACTGTAGGGAAAGTAAAAAATAATAAATGTGAATATCTAGATTATTTATTATACTACTAAAGCTATGTTTACAGTGGGCGACTACTACAGCCAGGCTAATAAAAAGAGGCCAACTTTTTCAACTCAAATGCAAGCATAAATACAATATGTGAAATTTGGTTAAGATATATGAAAAGCCAATAAAGATGGAGATAAGATGTAATCCGTTATAGTATTTGGAAACAGCTTGACATTAGTTAAGATGAAATGTTTGAAATGGAATTCAAAGCCAGGAAGGGATGAATTTGATAATGGGATACATTTTAAGAGCAAGGTAAGTAAATGGTAATCTATATGATTTAAAGTTTAGATTACCAATGATAATGAAAGTGAAAGTTACATTATGTCTATATAGACTTCTTAAGTAAATCATCTAATTTTGTCAGTTAGTCTAAACATTGTTTAATTAAATAATATGATTATGTATGCTCAGCCTTAGACATATCTAATTTGATTTAAGTTTCTTTGAAAAACCATCCAACATTCAATTACGTAAATATTGGAAAAGAAATATGAATATCAAAATACAGTATAATGGGATTTTCTGTGATTAAAAATCAAAACATATTTGTGTCATAGTTATTTTTTCTTCTGGCTGGTTTGATATTCAGATTTCTAGGAACACACATAACATCTTTCAACCATAATATTTAAAAAATAGCAACACAAATGGTTATTATTATTGAACATACATCTGAATTCTTGATCCCATTATATAAAGGAATAACTCACCTCTTTTTCTTTTTCTTTCTCTTTCTTCTTTAAAGATGGAATTTTTATTGGTGAACTTGAAAGTAGAGCAACACCTAAAAACAAAACAAAAAAAATACATATAAAATTTCACAATATTTAATCAAAATGATTTTTTTTTCCCCTCAGGCTAATATATCTTTTTGTAGTGCCCTCACTACATTTCACTTCATTAAGAGAAAGCAGCTTAGTTCAGTCGGCTAATCTGGCGGTAGCCACTGTGTGTGTGCTGAACCGTGGAGATCTCTAGGTCTCCAGTTCAATTCCCATCACTGCCTCTCCTTGTGTTTCAGCTAGAGGGCTGAAATACAAGATACAATAGCGCACCGTCTTTCAGATGAGACGTTTAAGCCGTTGGTCCCGTGTGCATCTATGGCTCATGTGCACATTAAAGAACACAATACACTCTTCGGAAAAGAGTAGGGGATTGTCTCCCAGTGTGCTGCCCAAACACCACTAGAAGGACCCCATTGGAAATAAGTCTTCTTCTAGACCCTCGTAGGCTATCCTTGGTGTTTACACTAAATAAATCCAATCCATTGCCGCTATGCAAATAAATCTTATGTTCAACAACTTGAGCCCTGTCCAGACTATGTCATGTTCTTTGACAGAAAACTGTATGCCCATATATAGTCATGATGTGCCCATATATAGTTATGATGTGCCTATATATGGTCACGATGTGATATTGTCATGACAATATTTAGCCATTTCATTTTAAAATCTGGCCAGGGCTTTATGACCATGTAAGCACTTTTATTTTCTAGGCCTTTTCCATGTGGAATAAACTGCTAATTTTGTTACAAATTAAATACAGATTAATTTAATTTAAAATAATTTCATTATAATTTATATTCAAATTATTTGTCTTAATAAATCAAAATGTACAAAAATGATAACAATAGGAAAATTAAACCATAACGTTGAGTTTGCCTCACAATTACACAATCAAAATATTAGATTTAGAATTAAATTATCAAAAAAAAATTAAATAGCACAAGAATTATATCTTCTATTTCACCTCATTGCCCATTAGTTTTAACATGCTTAAATACTTGTGTTAGCCTGCTGATGTAATGTACTCTTTATCTATTTTATTTTGAGTGTAAATTTTGATTGCAAATTAAGAAATGTTGAACTGCAATGAAGGTGTCCTCTTCATCCTAGATTATACTTACCGCAATGAGCATGTCGTAGTGCGCCAACATCATTGGTACCGTCTCCACACATCAAAGTCACAAAGCCTAAACTCTTTAGAGTTGTTATCACAAATTCCTGTAAACAATTATAAAGCAAATAAAGTGAGGAATGAATGAAGAAAGGAATTCATTTAGGACTGCTACATTTAATAAATGAAACAATGGATATAGGGCAAGAATAATTGGATGAATGGATAAACGAAAGAATAAATGAATGAATGATTGAATGAATGCAAGAACTAACAATGAATGAATGAATTAATTAATATATATCTCGTACAAAAAATGAGTTGATTTATAAAGTACATGTATCTACTGCAATAGTGGTCAAGGTGCTCAAAAGTAAAACAATGGTTTAATAAAAGAAAGTATGAATGTGTAACTAAACAAATGCATGTATAGAAATAGTGTTCATCAAATGATTAATATTGCATATGTATGGATTTCAAAATTTACTAAAATATATCTGATAAAAGTGTTAACATCCTGATAGCTCAAACATTAGCTGTAAGGCTGTAAATCAACACAAAAGCTAAAATTACTAAGCATTAAATAAACAGAACCTTATAGAGAAGTTAAATTTCAAATGATTTACCTTCTGTTTTGGTGCAACACGAGCAAACACTGATATAGAGGGCAGTAGACGGTTAAAATATTTTGAATAAGTACTCTGCATTTCACTCAGTCCCTAAACAAACAAAAAAATACAAAAATACAACAAGTAATATATCTTATGATGAATACAGACTTCCATACCATATTAAATAAACCTAAACCTTATGTATAAAAAAGACATTTATTATTAGAACTTTTAAAATACTATCAAATCAAATTAATTTTTTTAAGAACATTAAGAATTAACTATTATCATCATTATTATAATAATCACTTTAATTATCATTCATATGATATATTATCATTAATATTATAAATAACATCATTACTATTTTATGTAAAAGTATAAATAATACTATCATTATCTTCATTATCATTATTATTATTAATAATGCAATCATCACTTGAATTATTCAACTTCAAAACGTGATATCATACCTCACCAGTGAGACAGAGGTCATACTTGTCAGTCAGTTCCTTACGACCTCCTTGAGGTATTATGGGTAATACAACAGATCCATCAATGGACTCCCAATGCCATTCTGAATCTGTATCAAAACATACACAAACAAATTGTATTAAGATACTCATCACACACATAATACACTGATTTTTGACAATATATTGACAACACTGGCTTTTGTAATTAATTTGAAAAATAAATCTCAGGACCAAAACCTTGTATAATTAGACATCAGAGCCTTCATGGCCTATTAAACACTTTTGCAGCAAATTTATACAATTTGATACAGGCAATACTGACTAGTATATGCATTGTAAATATACTGGAATACAATTGCTAAAAAGTACTGAAAAGAGAAGAATTAAGTAGTAGATTTTAACCTACCTATTGCATTTGGCTTAGTCAATATTAAGGTGTGACTTTTTCTTGTAAGAGCGAGTTCTTTAGCAACATGACATGCGGTCAGTGGATTATCTCCTGTTATCATAGCAACCTAAAGATTAACAACATAAATAATTATAATATATTTTTTCCATGTATATTCCCTTTCAGAGTTACTCTTGTTTGATTACAAGGGCTGTTTGGACCAGTATACTGGGATAACCCCCTACTCATCTTCAAAAAAATATACTGGGTTCTTTATAGTAAACATCAACTAATTGTGTACACTGGGCCTATATTTGGATAAAGACGATTATATAAACATAGAACCAGTGCTCATATTATGGCTGTCGGTTGCGGCACCCTTGACTAAAGGCTTAGCAATTCGACCCGCCATGTTTTCAAATATGTTGTTTTTATCGAAAGACTTACATAATGGGATGAGTGAAGGATGTCTTTGACAACTGCTTTTGAGTCTGACTTTAAAGGACATGAGATGATTACAAATCCTGCAAATATTAAATCTTTCTCAACATCATCACGAGACAATTCCCGCACCTGAAACAATAATAAAGAAAAGGCAATTTAGAACAAGATGAAGAAGCACGCTATGGCCTACCTTCTTGATAGTCAATGGACAACATCCTCCTTTTTCCTTCGCCATCTCTAAATAGCTCTATATCTGACTATTTGACAATAGCCTAGCTTCTTGTAACGAATGGTAATATCATTATCCTTTCTTTGCCATTTCTGAATACTGTAGTCAATGAACAAAAACCTTTCTTCTGCCACCTCTAAACTGCCACCTACCTGACTATTTGACAACTGGCCTAGCTTCTACTAGCTAACAGCCAATGTCATCATCGTTCCTTTGCCATATGTGAGCTGGCTTTCAGCTGACTATTTGGCAACTGGCCTAGCTCTTTGTAGTCAATGGAGAAAATATTGCTCTTTCCCTGGCAACATTCTAAACTGGCCCTTACCTGACTATTTGACAACTGGCCTAGCTTCTTGTAGCCCATTGACAGCACCCTAGCTCCTTCTCGAGCCATCTCTGAATGTACAGCATCATAATCATCTGGTACTTGAGTAAACTATTAAACAAAAAATGATATAAATATAATAGTCTGAAATCAATGAATGGCATTATGATATCAGCAAATATAATACATACAATAGCAATGATTGTGTTTTCATGGTGAGAAACAGTAACACTAATAATAATCATTATAAATTAATTGATTGATTGAATGAATGAGTGATGATTGATTGATTGATTGATTGATTGACTGGTTGACTGATTGATTGATTATATTTGATACTCATTCTATTTGAAACATCAATAACTTAGATTAAAGATAAATTACACATCAAGTCAGCTTATAAAATGCATAATAATATATAATTATATAATATAATTAATAATTAATAATAATAATTAATATTAATACATTAATATTAATATCTATATCAATATTAATATAATTAATAATTAATAATAATAATATTAATAATATATAATATATAATCATATATGCCGAGCAGTGAAGGCACGGCTTTAGACACATAATGAGACTTAGTCTATGTAGATCCTCTTGTGTGTATGTCTGTCTTGTGAAGGGATTACCACTAAGAAAAAAAATAATTACAAAAAAACCTAACTAATTTACCATTGGCTTCAGTGTTTCTGCAGCCCCTTTAACTGTTACCATGTAACTGCATTCTACACTTCCCTGCTCCTGCTTAGAGGCTATCACTGACATTCTCTTGAGGGCGCTAGAGAAATGGAATCTCTGGACTATTTTTAGAGGTTGACTCCTCATCCTTTGTGAGATGACCACATCCCCTACAATTGGAAGGTACAAGTTACTAGGAAAATAACATTCATCAAATGCACAAAATTTAGATGCCCTCATCATACATAAGAAAAAACACCATTCAACTTCACAAACATATTAATGGATGAACCAACCCTTGTGGTATTGGTGTTGTGCTTCAATAAAGTAATAAATGGTTTCTTTCATTATTACAAAATCTAGAAAATTTCATCAAGCGATAAATTAGACAAAATTCATCTGAAAGAAACCCTTTTATATAAAGAAACCCTTCATATTAAGAAACCCTACTAAGCAGAGGTCCATGTGCCTAGATTATGCATTTACATTCATACAAGTTTGTACACACAAAGAAAAATCTCGCTTTTTTGCTTGCTATATATTATTTAAGAGATTATGAAATACTTTATAGAAAGACTAAAACTTGCCTACCTTTGGTCAAGTTCCAATCAACAGCCGTCAACGTCGCCTTCTCTAGTGGATCTCCGACTAACATGTCATCAAGTTGGGCAAGTGCATGACAGGTGGCTAGTACCTGGTGGGTTTCCAGTGGTGCTTCAGCTATTGAACTAACTCTCTGCTTCCCCCTAAAAACATAAAAGGAATAAAACCTTTAAGTTTACAGAATAGTACAATTCTTAGGAGAAGTACCTACAGTACAAATGTTATATTAGTAGATCCTATATAGAAGAATCTACTATGCTAAGATTGCTAAGCATAGTAGTCAAAAACAGGCTCCCAGCGGGAGCATGTGTTGATGCCCTATACTGCCTTTACTGCATTATGTTTACTAAAAGTATCCACATGGGATTCGGTTAGCAGGAAATGTGTGGTGTCGTATTTTTTTTTAATGGCTTTTGTACAGTAATAAGGTACCTAAAGACGGCACATGACCCATCATACACCTCCACCAGATTTAACCTTTCCGCCATCTTTAACTGCCAGATCATAACATAGTGTCTTTGCCCCCAAGGGTGCATACAGTAGACACAAAAATGTTAATACTATGATTATTATCATTAGAAAATATTTTTTATAATTTTACAATCAATATTTTATATACACAACTAAAATCAACAATGCACTTTACAGCTACTAATTCTATTACTTTCAGTTCAATATTATTATTTTTTATTCTTATTGCTGAAGTAAATACATTACAATATAATAGTACTTACGGCAAACCTGCTATTCCTTCCACCACTAGCTGATCAGAGGTGAGTGTGCCTGTCTTGTCAAAACAACAGATGTCTATCTTACCAGCAAATGGTATACGAAACGGTTCAGTGCAAAACACACCTGTAGTACAAGAAAACATGCATGTTGTCACAGTTCATGAACAAAACAATGTAAGGTATAGGTCAGTATATTCAGCGGCGTATATTTAGGAGTCTAAAATTGGGGGCTGATGGGGAAGCGAAGGTAGAGTGGGCTCGGTGATGAGGTGAGGAGGTGCTATCTCGCAAAATAAGGTGATATGAGGGAATTTTTAACAACTTGACTATTTTTGGGAGGGAGGGACAGCGATTGGAGGGACGTGAGTATTTTTTTTGGATACGCCACCGAGTACAATTAATTACACATAATATTCTAAATATTTTTGTTTCTATTCCACATATTTTCTTTCTACTCAGACAAATATAAAATAAACACAATAAATAAAACAATAAATACAAATTATTATGAGTTTTTATACAACCTCATAAATTTATGACTGACTGAATTGATAAAATGATTGATGGAAATATTGAGTGGCTGAATGATTGATTGATAGAAAATTATACATCCATTATATATGCAGAAATTTATATTTTCTAAAGTAACTGTTCATTCCTGTAAACAGGGTATCGCTTCAAAAACTTACCAAATTTAGACAATGCCAACAAGGAAGAATTCACCGCCAGTGACAACTCAATCGGTAGCTCAGGTGGGACAACTGACGTGAGAATGAGGGTACACTCAAGGAACAGTTTGTATTTATTACGAGTTTCATCCTTGGTTCCTTAAAAAAAAAAGAAAAATAAGCACTGCTTTTATACAGCTTCATACTCAGTTTTAGCACTACATTTAAATGAGGATCAGCATTGAGCCGTACAAAAACAAGGGGTTTTCTAGCCAAGGATGGTAAGTGGGATGCATACAAAGGGATTTCAATAAATTTCAATGAACATAACAAAAAAACGCTTTCCATGCCCATTCCCATGTTACCTATTTCACGTATTCCTGTAGTTTTATAGGCTTAAAATAGGTTCTACATCATCGTAAATAAATGTTTATAAAGAAATGCTTGTTTCTTCATTGTATTATTTATTTATTTTAACACTGTATACATTGTGTTTAAAACCTGTTTCTCAGTGTTTCATAACACACAGGGAAATACATATTCTCAAATTAAGCACTGAGGCGCTTATTCGAGAGCGGTGTTTAACGAAAAAAATAATTATGATTGGTGCAGCGCTCATTCGAGAGTGGCGCTTATTCGAGAGCAGCACTTATTCAAGCATTTACGGTACTTCCCTACCTTCTATCCATACATAACTGGCAGCAGCAATGGCAAAGATCAGCAAGAATAGTATGAACATGAACGTTTCCAGATTGTTGGCAGTCACCCTCTTGACACCATACAAGATGGTCTTCAATAACTTACCCTAAGGATTTGATAAAGGGAAGAGTTAAGCTACTAAACCTTGGGTAGATATCGTATGTTAATAGTTTGAGATTTGTATAAACCTTCCTAGGTTATGCATTCATGTGTCTCAAAATCATTTATCAGATCCAGTAACATGCTTGTGTTTCAACTGTCTTTAGACTTCGTTACTTTTCTCTTTTAGTTTTGCCTTGAACATCTAACGTTTAAGTTATCATTTAAAAACAGTGTTGTCACACTTGAAATTTGCATTTTTTTATATTATGTTTTGTCAGAAATGGTGTTTTTGATCAGAACAGAGAATTTGAAATTAATTTATGTCAGGAATAGTGCAGAAATCAATTATTTTGTAGTCCATAGTCAATAGTCAGATCACAGTAAATAGTCAAGAGAAAGTCAAAGGTACTGTATGTTTAAATTATTGACTCAGACTTCTACAGGACAAAAAGCTTATACTATCCACTGCCAACCATCCAGGGACTAACTGATGTAATGTAACATCATATGCAACACAATTAAGTTGGATTGCTCTGATTCAGTGAACATAAATTTCACTCACTAATTAATAGCAGTAGCAGTGCTACATGTGCTGTAGCAAAAATGCTGTAAACAATCTGAATAATTTTGACACTCTCTCTTACCTGAGATGTATTGAAACCAGTTCTCAGGACATATGCAATACAGCCATTATCACCAGCTGAATAAAAAAAATTAAATAATATAATACATATATAATACATAGGCCTTTCCATTGCCACACTCAGTATATGTCACATTGAAGGGTTGTTCCCGCTCTTTCATTGCCGTATGATCTTTCAGTGGTTATTAAACTCCTATGCTACATGCCTATCCGGGGCTTGCCTGTTCCCTTCGCTACCCACTCTCTTTGCTACTGCTTGAGGTCACCCGATATATTTGTAACATCCAAGGATACTACATCCAGGGGTTAAAACAGGGGCTACACGCTGTCTTGCTAAGACAAAACATGTTATATATTATGGATGGCCACAATTTTGTTTATAAAACACTGAACGTGAAGTACTATATCGAACTACTAAGGCTCATTTATTTTCAGAAAATTGTTGATAAAGTCGCACAACTTTTGACTACGTACATTTTAATCCTGGGGATGTCTTTCCTGGGGGTGTGTGCTGGACCACTTTAGTACCACCAAATATTACATGCAGTCTGCTGTCCACAGAGACATCCAGAATATGGTCAGCCTCAATATTTTCCACTGGTTCCTAATTTATAAAAAAAGATAATTTTCTTAGCTGATATATATATTGTAATCCTTGGAACGGTCAGTAACACCAAACATGTAAAATGATAACCAGAATGCATTCCATAGAGCGCATACCTCTGTTCTTTGCCCTTTGCCTTGATACCGAATAATACATTTATGGGCCATTCTATTATTCTGTCTTATGCATTGTTTTTTCCACATTTTTGTGACCTTGATCTTTGACCTTTTCACCACAAAACTGAATACTGTACATTTTCCTTGGATTATTATATACTTTACTTATATTATTATAAATTTTATGACGATTCATTCATTAGAACTTTTTTAGTGAGTGACAAAATATGAAAATCTGGTACATGATTGAAAGTATTATAAAATCGGTTATACCTTCATTATTATCCATATTTGGCGATGTCAAGCCAAAACGGTCGGAAGTCGCTAAGACGATTTTAAGATATAAAGGCAAAACAATAGACAAGGTCAAATTTGCTCATTTTTGTGTTTCATTAAAAACATGTATATTAAGTATCTAAGAATAGGATTCAAATAATATTTCGCACATTTAAGTACCAAAAATACTGTAAAACGGAACCCGGAAGTATGAAAAACGAAGGCAAATCATCGTTTAAAATACTCACGAAATTACAGTTTTTTTCAATCGTGTTCCGGGGTCAAACTCGTGTCAAGTTTGATATCGTTGGAAAGCTTAGAATGTCAGCTACAATTTTGATTGGTCAGTTCATCCTGGTTGTTTAACCAATCAAAACAGTCGTTTTGGTACTGTAAACAATTCGGAAGCGGCCTAGCAACAAACGGAAACACGCATGCTGATTGGTCTAATCCAGTCAGCTGACCATTTTTGGGGCGTGTCTAAGACCGCGTCGCTTGGGTTTTCGATGGAAGCGTCAGCAAGGTAGTAGTGCACGTTACATGTTTTCATCGAAGCTCGAAGTTCAAAGTTACTTGTTGTAATAATTATAAAACAATAATACTGTTTCTTTTACACAAGAAAGTTTGGTAGTACAGGTACATGCGAAATGGGCTATACTGTATAACACAGACTTGATAATGTTGACGACGAATAAAACGCGTTCTGTAATAGTTTAACGCACTGGTTTCAAGGTCGCAGTGTTCGATTTCCAGTGTTTACAGTAAAAACGACCATCACATTTGAATCCGTAATATCACATTTATTAATATATGTAAGTACATGAAACTTGGTACAGTTATAAAATACATTACGTAAAATGTTTCTGCGAAATTTCATTTCAATCGGTCAATGGTAACACTGCCGTTATTAAGGAAGTATCGAACACACCGAACACATGTGAGTGAGCTACACGCTGAGCGCACTGCCAGCAACTGGGCGTTATAAACATCAGTTTTATCGCCGTTTCTTCAAAGTAGTAACTGCTAACCTCGCGCTATATAAATCGGTATAAATTTAGAACTAAGTACAGTATCAGAATATAATAATTTTTTCACTGTTTTATTTATTATAATGTGATTATTCAGTTGATGGTTTTAAGTAAAAATTGGTTTTTCCGACTTCCGACTGTTTTTGCTTGACATCGCCACATATAGTCACATAGTCGCCTATAACTATAAACTGGAAATAAAATAAAACTCCAAAAGTATTGAGAATTAAACATAGAATATACAAACCTTCATTTGTGGCACTGACTCGCCTGTTAGCATGGACTCATCCACAATACAGGGGCCACGGAGGAGCAGCATATCGCATGGCACCGGATTCTCATTATGAGAACGTGTTATGGAGCAGATATCGCCCGGTAGCAGTTCGTCACTGAAGATTGGCCGCCATTTGCGATTACGATAAACCTAAAGAGACATGGCAAAATGAGTAGTTTGGAAATGATCATATTTGCTACACATGATATTTAATTGGTATATTTTTTATGAAAATAATGATTATGATGAATGATGATGTCACAAATCAGAAACTTGTGTTGCTCAAGCCTAAGTTTCTATATAAAAAAATTCTAGTCTGTTTTTTTTTTTTTTTTGCCAAAATAGATATTGTTTTTAGCAATAAAGAGCCCAACATACTTGTATGATCTTTTCAAAAATCTGTTTTCGTAGCTTTAAATCTCAAATCAAGGATTCAAAATACAAGGAGCCCAGGGAGTGATGGCAGTGCTGATGTAAGAAAGGTTATGATTTTGGCACCTCTAGATGCCCAAAAAGGCACTCTCAGACTTCTGTGTCTGAGGCTGCATTTCTGAATTAGCCTCACTCAAACTAAATTATAAAAAAAAAAAAAAAAAAAAAATTTAGAGAAAAAGAGAAAATTATATTGAAATTTAAGTCTGAGAGTCCCATTTCTGGCCATCTTGAGGTGCCATAATCATAAATTTTTTTTTAGATCCCTCCAATGTGAACGTCCCTCCCTACTTTGAATTCTTGGATCTGCTGCAGATTTCCAAGAATTGACTTCCACCTTGGGATCTTGAATTAATAACTTGGCATCTGCCTATCTGAGTTTTGTACTTGTCTAAGTTGAATCTGTCATCCTCACCTGTATCATGTATGGTTTATTGCCCATTTTCCTGATCTCGGCCAGATTCCTCATCTGCTGTTGAACCAACGTTGCCTCAAACATGACAAGCATAATTAAAGTGAACACACTGATGAGGAGGAAAACAAAGCAAGCCACTTTTACCGGAAGGGTGGATATAAAATGAGAGGCTCTTAGAGCCTTGTGTTAACTTTTTGGAAAAAATTATTTTTAGGTTGCATATGCTTTATCCTCTAAATACAGTAAATGTCATGGAAGACAATTATTACTGTGATTGGATATGGTAAATCTTGTACCCATACATTTACTATTATCCTGAAGTTAAATATCATTATGTATAATAAATTTTAACCACAATACCCAAAATTTAGACAGCATCTTAGCCAAGCTGAAAGAATTTCCTACCTATAGTACCAATACTCATCCAAGCACCACAGACCAACACAAAAAACTTGAAATACAAAAAAGGGCGCAGTTGCACGTTCCTTAAATAGTTCCCAGAATTCTGGAGGCTCCATTGTTAGCCTAGAATATTAGAAAAACTTATTTACAATTTAAACTATATTCTGGAATTAAAATGACTCTGAATTGTGTCAAGGTTCATTGCATAAATAAGTAGGATAGGTACAAAGAAAAATAATGATGATAAAAATAATAGTTATATTGATAAAAATGCCAAGAATGAATATAATTCATAGTGATAATGATAGTAATGATGATATGATAATGGTATTAATAAAAAAAATATATTAATTGCAGTGGCGGACCATTAGGTAAATTGCAGGGTATGCTAGGTATTGGCATATCTAGGATTTGCGAGGGGCGTGCATGCCCCACCTGAAAAAAAATACTCGCCCATCAATTAGTTGACCCCACCCCCGCCAACATATCATGCTGAAGTATTTAAAAGTCACCTCAAATCACCTTATTTTGCAAGTTAGCCCCCTCACCTAATTACCGATCCAACACCTTTCCACCTCATCAGCTCCCTTCCATTTCAAGACCCCTACGCCTCTGATGCTAGGGCCTGCTAGTAGGTAAAGTTCATAAGCGTAATACTATATACAAAATCAGATTGTGTCCTATAGTCAAAATGCAAATGTATGTTATTTTTATTACCGGCATGGTATGTAGTAGTAATAATTCCTATTCCTGTATTTTAACAAATCTGAATTCAAAAAATAGTAATTCAAAATTTCTTCTATACCGGTCATATGTATGTAAATTTATTTAAACTTCAATCATTGAGATTCTTCCTATAGATAAAATACCCGATCGGCAGTGGAGGTCCCAATTTGTGAAAAGACCTTACGCACATACTCTTGGAAGCACTGCTTCCATTCCAGTGTTAAATTTGGCTATTCTGACGCCACCACATGGTAGTCACAATAGCAAATTTAAGTGTTGTAGGGTATGCTCCGACTCCCATTGGCTCACTGAATACATGATTGGCTAATATTGAAAACAAGCCATGCGGAAATTCTAAGCAGCTGAGAGTATGATGCGATAGGCCCGACTGTGACTTATCCTTGATACCAGAGTAGGCCAAACATTGAAAAACTCTGGTATTCCAATGAACTGTAGCAAAATTAAGGTTTATGTAGAAGATTTTTTTATTTTATTTGTTTGGTGTTTTTTTTTTTGTATTTGGGTATGCACTGCATACTTTGCTTGCCTTGACGGTCCGCCACTGATTAATTGTAGTGAATCTATAAATGGTTTTCATTTTGTTAAAACCAAAGAGATCTCTTTGGTTCTAATAAATGGAAAACCATAGTTATCACAGAACTAGCTAAAATATTTCCATTATTTAATAGTGAATTCATTTCTGATAAAAATGATATGGAGATATTGATGATAATAATGAAAAATTAAAAAGTTGATGTTAATATAATTTGTAATAATTATCATAAAATAGTACTGATAAGGGCAAATAATGAATAGATTGGATGAGGACAATCACATTAAAAAAAAACTGGTTTAAGACAGGTGTACAATAGCAATGGCGACTGTCTTTTAGTAATAATATCATTTTAGTGTTTCTGTAAATGCAGATGCTGTGGCTGCTGCTGTTGTCGTTTCTATACACTCTCATCTCTTACTTGTTCAGACCAAATGTAGTTTTTGCAGTTTCCACTTCACTTTCGTCACTGTATCCCTTCCAATCTGCATAGTATCCCATGGAATGATCAATGGGAAACTCCACAGCTTGAAACTGCTTCTTCTCTTTAGAATCGTAGATATATTTTGTTTTTTGAAAATTGAACCAAACTTCATTTTTACCATCTCTCTGAAAGACAACAAAAATTTATTATGAAATTATCATTATTGTTATCACCATTATCTACTGTAACAAATTGTAATTACTTACTGCCAAATGTATCCAGTTCTAAATGTGCAGATTTGTAGCCAGTCTATTTAAGCACCATCTCATACACAATATTTTAGGTTTAATATTTCCTGCATACTTTTAGGGAATTAAAAAGGATCAATACTCTTTCTTTAATCGACTATCAAGGAATTAAAAAGTGGAGTCCAACTGCAAAAATCAAACCCAGTCCCTCAGACACTCAGTCTGCATAAAAATGGTATTCAATGAACAACTCAGCAAACTTAAAGATTAACTTAAAGAAACATATATAACTACAACACTATATAATTTTTTAGTAATTTTATATCATTTGATGCAAGGTCTCAAAAACAAAATGAGTCACATGTTGATTTTTGAATAAGTTAACCACACATGATGGTGAGACCTCACATCAAATTTAATTAAAATCATCATATTTTTTTGTAACAACATTGTCTATTAATCAGAAGCCATTTTCTTTAACACAGGAATTACTAATGTCAAAAATCTACTATCATACACTCCGATGACTTGGTAAACAAAGGGGGGAAGATGACGGTCTACTAACATTGCTCTCTAACAAATGTTAAGTGTCATACAAGAGTCCTTACCGTTTCATTGTGAAGCTTAACAATTTCTGCAGAGCCATTGTTTGCCGTTGGTACAACCTTAATATATGTAGCATGAAAAGTGTCTTTTGCCTGAAAAATATACAGGAGTTGTTGTAAATAAGCACACAGCCAAAAAAGATCCTATAAATGGCTAATATCCTACACCATTGTTATCAATGACTAATTTTATAGAAGAGTCAAGCCCCAATCAAAGTCAATGCACTCTGCATCAGTAGAGTATACCGCAAAAAAAAAAAAAAAAAACCTTTCATTCATTTGAAAAAAATATGTGTAGGTGCAGATTTCTTTCAAAATGTTCATATATATTTCAGTCAAGATTAATTTTAATTAATTTTATTAGTTGCTCTCAACTAATCAGTCAAATGACAAAATTAACTGTATAGTTGGCAAATTGCTAATAAATAATAATTTTTATGTACAGTTAGTATATTTTTCCGTAAATGCTTGATGAGTAAATTTTTATTTATACAATAAACAGTACTTATTCAACAGTAGCATTTGGTTAACCAATGGCATGAAAATTAAATTGTATAGTGACATGATGTAAAAATAAAATGAGAGAATATTTAGAATTAAAATGCAAGACATTACTTTTCCAACATTTCATTACATTAACCTGTTGCGTAACTAGGGGTTTTTATAATTTGTTAATACATTGTTAAAAGATGATTTAATCAAGTTGGAAATTGTGGTTTTCTTTAAATGTCTTAATAATTTAATGGCTACTCTGAGTATATCACTTTTTCATTTTTAGAAGTCGCATTTTAATTCTGAGAATTATATTATATATCATATAATTTTATATATTGTGTTAACTTATTTCTGTTTTTCTAGGTATGGATTAACAACCTTTTGAGCCATAGCAATTTTAATTGCACTTTTGATAATCCTTGAAAGTATACTACATACTCTAAGTAACAAAATGCACGTGATCGTGTCGGGATTCAATATTTTGACATTAATTATGTCATCATTCCTGATGATGACATTAATGTCGAAATATTGAATCCTGACATGATAGCATGCATTTCGATACTTGGAGTATGTATACTATCTTATCTGAGATTAATCAGTGGACCTTTCGGTTAATCCTTGCTTCCTAGATTTACAGTTTTCTGTAATATCAGTTTTTGTTACTTTTTGTTTAATTTTTACTGTGTATGTGCCAATTGTATTGTGATTTTTATGAAAAGCTAAATAAAGAACCAATGAATGATCATTAGAATTGAATTTTACAGATTATTATCATGAGATTGAGGATTTGAAACTTGGTTTTAATTACTTATGTTTATCATTACAAAGTTATGTTTCAGAGTTCTATTCTAGGCTTAGCTAGGCCTCAACTCAATAATATTAATAACACTAGGCTACTGTTAATAATGTTTTATAATATTTATCATTTTTATTAATAAATATATAAAATAATAGGCCCTAGTAGGCCTACTAGGCCTATATATATTAATTTTTTAAACTGTGTCAAATTGTTACACCACCAGCATATGTGGATTTCATTAGGACAATAACAACCATTCACAATTAAGAATTAAACAATTGTAAAAGATGAAGGAGAATTCAGTAAACAATCTAGGCCTAGGGCCTAGGCCTCCCGGCCTAAACACAGCGTAGCCTACCTTCGCACATGTAAGGAAGCTCCGCACATGAACCGACCAATGACAAAACAAGCAAACCAGAATTTGCAAACAGCCGATCCCGGCTACTGCGATCATTCCAGCCTCAAAATACTCATTTATTCCATAAATAAATACTAAACAATAAAACCAACAAATATATATTACAGCAAAAGGGGCTACATAACCATGGAGAATTGTAGGGCGTAAAATTACAGGAGTAAGGCTAGCTATTACATCGTCTACGGAGGATGCCATCTTGGATAATATTGAATCTTTAACTTGCTAATATTTATAAATTTACATATATTACATTATTTATACTAACGCACATACAAGCATAAACAGGCGCCCATAAACACTCATTTAAAATTAAGTTTATATTTTGTTTATTCTAATTTAGTGTATTATTTAGAATAATTTCATTTATAAAGTTTTAAATTACAGAAGGTTAGGTAGCCTAATAAACATTGTTTACATATGCCCCCAACGCTGAGGGCGAGCTCGAGAAACATTTTAAATTTTCAATTTGAATTTTTTTAGATTTTAAATATGTAAGTTAGTTAAACATATGGTTGTTGTTTGTTTTGTTTTCAGAATAATACATTGCTTAAATTTTCAAGTTGTTCATGTTAACTTAAGGTTTTTTTTAATTTTTCTAGGCTGTTATATTCGTCTTGCCCAAGCCATTTTGGGATGTGAAAATGAATTATTCCCCCTGTAGTCAGGATTTTACAGAAAGAAGGAAGTGATCCTACATTTTACAATTGATTGAAATTAAAATAGTGGTTAACACCTAGTAGGTAATTAAAATTCGAGGGTGATAACTCTTTAAAAAGGCTTTGGTACCTTTAGTTATTGTGAAATGTGCATAGGCCTGGCCTATAATTTATTAATTAACTTTTAATTGAAATTAATAAAATAGGGCGAGTAGTCCCAACTCATATTTAATTTTGTTTTTGCTGCTTTTTTTTTTAAATGTTGTTTTGATTATTGTTTTTGTGGTATTGGTGGTTAAGACGCATGCTTTACAATCCCAGGTTCCTGGGTTCAAATCCTGTGAGACCACGGATTTGATACTACAACATTAAGGAAGCATGTAGTTTTTACTGTAGGACCTAGGCCCTAGAGCATCATTAATTCATCCATAAGTATCCGCTGACTATTATTATTATTATTATTAATTATTAATTATTATGTATTATTATTACTCTTGTATTGTTAGTTTTACTCTTATTATTATATTACTATGTATTATTATTATTATTATTATTATTTATTATTATTATTATTATTATTGTGGTGGTAGTGGTATTATTATTATTATTATCGTCGCTATCATTATAGCTATTATTATTGCTATTAATATTATTTTTGTTGTATTGTTATTTTTATTGTTATTATAGTAGGCCTACCTATCAATTATTGTTGTTATTATTAAGGGAAGCGATCGTGAACATTATAACAAAATACTGTGGTGAGGAACTTGATAATTATGGAAGGTGTGTGACAGAAAACCCATCATCTTGGCAAAATGACTGTGATGATCTGAAAAACAAGGCCACTCACTGCTCTTCACAACAGTATGTTGAAAACTACAATTCAAATATTCTCCTTTATGATCTTCAACATACAGTAATTAATTTTTTTTTTTAAATATTGCAAAGTGTATGTTTCTATAAGCTCTTTTCGAAAATGTTCTTAGTGCGTGATGTTTTTTTTTTATCACATCAGTCTATGCAATTTATTAAAGAATATACAGTAGGCCTTTCTATGGATTTACTGTACAGTATTTAATTAGAATAGTTTGTAGAAAAGACACTAGATTAAGAAATGTTTTAATGTAATGTTCTTGGTTTAGTATTCATAATATTTGCAATAAAAATATGTATAGGTGTAATTTTTGCCCTACCTAACGTGGAAATGTACTAAATATTCAGTACGTGTGAAAACAATTGCGAAATCGCAAGTTGTTCTCGGGTGGGACTCCACGGCGAACATAGCCTCCTGGAAGCCCTGTAGTTTTTAGCCTACCTTTTACCTAGTAAATTATTTTACAATTGGTGGGGTGAAGTAGATGAAGTATATTTTTTACAACGGTCGCCGCCCAACAAGTGTTATTTGTAATATCTTTTTATTTTTTATTTTATTTTTTTTTTAAATATATAGCCCAGCAGTTAAACGGATCAATCGAGAATGCGCCAACAGTTTCAAAGAATATGACACATGCTTAAACACACACCCGCAAGATGTCCAGCAGTGTGTATCCCAGCTGGAAGAATTCTTGAAATGTGCTGAACGATCATCACAACGTATAGAAAATGCTGTCCTTGAGAAAAGTATGAGAGATGTTTATTGAATATAGACAGTAAAAAAGGTTAATTTTTGTTATTTGTAATTTGTATTTAATGGGTTTTTAAGGAAAGGAGTAAGATTGCTGAAGAAACTTATGCAAAATTACGGCAAAAGTTGTTACAGAGAGTCACCTTTTATTTTAACATGGCAAGACTTACACAAATACTGAGCTGGTATACTGATTCCTACACAATGTGTGCAACAATAAGTTTTGGAGACGACCCACACTCACTAAATTTTTGAAAATTAAATTTTAAAAAAATGATAGGGGAAAATGGAAACTGTAATTAAATTTAAGTTTTATTTATTATATTTTGGGGGTGGGGGGAGGAATGGTGCAATTTCGGGCCATCTGCAGGTGCCACAGAGATAATAATTCTGTTCCAGTGTCATCGTGGGGCTGAGTTAATCTGTTCCCTTGGTCTATAACATTCCCTCCCTGGACTATTTCAAATACTTGGTACCGCCACTTAGAGCTGGTATGGTTCTCAGTAATATTTAGGGAAATAATAATTCCATGATGTATAAATTACATTTTTCCAACAGATTTGATTGTGATCAGTAAACTGAATATTTTTGTAGTTTGATTATTCATCCTTTTAATTGTTTTGTAACGGCAAAAACTCTGTTTTCTAGGTGAAATAAGATGAATCCGTGTAGGCGATGTGTTTACAGATACCACCGACCAGTAACTCAAGAGGAGTGATGACATACAATTAATATCAGTCGTAAAAACAATAGGATTGGAGCTTTGTTCCAATCCAACTAGGCTACATAGTGATGTGGATGAGAAAAACGGAAGGAAGATGAAGACTGTAACTGTGTAAAGAGAAAGCAACCGATTCAATCAGGAATTTGATTAAATTAATCGTAAAAATAGCGTCATATATTCAATAATGTGATTTCATTTTCTATTACTGAAAAATATGAAATGCAAAAAAAAGTAAAAGTAAATACTATATAAATAAATAAATATATTTATATCTGGAACTAAATATGTCTTAATGTTATTTATTGGTGGACTAACGTACAGTAATTCAATCATAATAAAAGGTGTTTTCTTTTCAAATGAAATCAGGAGCAAATTCAATTTTTTGAACCATTATTATTATTTCATTGGGCCTACGTATACTCCCCGATTTTATTTTATTTATTTATTTATTTATTTTTTTTTTTTGGAAAAATAAAACTACGTGGAATGATAGTAAAATATTGTCAACAGATATGACATAAGAAATTGTTAGAACAATGAAAATGTAAGATTTAATTTCCAAGTGCGTCCAATAAGACTTCGTGAAATCACAGAAGAGCAACTGTTTTTGTTCTTTGTTTCTGAGACTGTAAGCGTAATACCCAATTGCTTTGTTATCCAAGCCCAAATACTACCGTGGTTAAAAATTCAGTATGTCACAGTAATTGATCGCTGCGTGGAGTATCACTTCTCCATTGACTCTTCCTCATTGATTTCGTCTGTACATTAATATATACGAATAGGAAATAAAGGCGGCGCAATAGGAACAAATCTGTTGGAATCTTTGTTATAATGTTATAATTACAGTTATTAGTCGTTGGCATCTGTTCAAGTAAAATATCGGATGGTCAAACACAACATTTAAGGTTTTTACAAAAATGAATGGCATGGATTGGGAAATGTAAAATTTAAAAAAAAAGTATATAGCGGACCTACTAGAATAGATAAATTAATTAAGCCTTAACTTGGTTTTGAACGATTTTCTTATGATAGGGATATCCACGGATGAGGGCGTTTGAGAAAATCACGTTTACACATAGTTTCAGAATAACAACAATAATACATTAATAGCAACAAGAAGAATAATAATATGACACATACTAATATGACAAATTATTGTCATATTTTATATTTTTATTGTTTCAAAAAAGCATTTTATAATAACATATATACCAAATAATCTTTACTAGTTTCAACTGCTATCGCATGTTCCAGGGCTGATGCATTCCCTGCGTATTTTTTCGCCAAAATAGTAGGCCTAAGTAAATGAAGTAAATGAAAAGTTAATGCTAATAATGTTCGATATTCGGCTTAAAATTGATTTCTTATATCTAGAAAAAACTCTATTTCGTAATTGAATGTCGATGATTATTCATGATATTTCATAATGAAATCAAAATGAAATCGTATTACATTCATATACATCTGTCGTTGTCTGGGAATTTGTCAAAAATGCTATTATTTACGTCACTCTCATTAGCACACGTATTTCAGCGTCTGAATGGAGTGTTAATTAATAATTAGTCATGAAGATTGATACGCACGCGACAATACCATAATATGGCCATGAAGGATTACAACTTATCAATAACGTTAAGTTATTTTATGACGTGTATAGATGGTGATGCGTTGTTAAGTGACGGGTTACCCATCATATTACTGATGTAGAACCCTTTTTTAAGGGGGTGCCTTCGGGAAAAAATGTCTCCTTAACAAAAGGGTGTCCTAAATAAGAGAACACATTTTTTATGGGGACCTACTAAAAAAAACAAATTCTCAACTTATGGGTTTTGGGTACGCAGTTATACAACTTTAAAATGCCATGGCATTTTTTTGTCATAAAAATGAGTTACAAAAAATACCTCCGTTTGTAAATATAATTTTTAGTGAATTTAGAATATATTTTCATAATAGAGAAAACATTTTAATTAAACCAAAATACCGGTAGTATATATTGCTTCATAATTATAATTCTAGTGCTATTATTAAAATGGTCAAATATTTTTTATTTACAATAATGAACGTCCTTATGAATGCATAATATACCATGGGTAGAGTTTTGACTGGGAATAGGATTCAGATATATTGAATTAAAATTTCATGAGGCCGGCATAAAAAAAACAAACAATACCTTGGCGCAAGGCAAAAATCTAAAATATTTTTGTTTATGGAACAACAGTATGCCATCAAACTCGCATTGGACACAGCCAACTGGAGAGATGGATTCTCACATCATGTCATGATTCAAGTTAAAAAAAAAAAAAAAAATACATTTTGATGGCCCTAAAATGTTGATTGGTCATTAATGACAAGTTTAAGAGCTGATTTGCCTTGTAAAATCAACACAATTGCATTTTCTTGTTAATAGGCTTACGCTAATATAGTAAGCCCAATAGTATTATAATGTCGGATAATTCAATTACATTTAAATGACTATTTGGAAAGTCGTTTGTATTAAGGCCACTCGTAGACCATGAGCTTAACTTAATAAGTATAATTTTTTAAAATGCAAAACGTCATTATTTCTCTTATCTACTGAGACACATGACTGATGATGACGTACAACGTTTAATTTCTTTGTATAAATGACATTACCAAGCATAGATTATGGTAAAGAGTTACGTATCTTCTCTCTGGGATCAATAATACAAAAATTATTGTTTAAAACCATATATTTAGACCTAAAAATTATGGGGAACATATATATATTAAAATGTATAAAGTTATAGCGTACTTTGGCGTTCGGAAAGGAACTACAAACGTCGTTATTAGTTGATTGTGAACTTTGATAGCAGTCCGTTCTAAGATGTATTTTGGCTTTGTCGATATGACAAAAGTAGAAATTTGTTCAGAATAGTTTACTTTTAGACTCAACTAAAACAGCAATAATATTAATAATAGGCCTACCCAAACAAAGGTTCATGTTTATACTGTACTAAACATTTGGATCTGAAAATTATTTCCTAGCTTTTACAATAGAGATTTCATATTGTAATAGCAAAATATGAACTCAACCTAATAATTGAGATCTGCATAAACAATTATTGATATAAGAGAGGAGTGGAAGACGAGAAAAAATATTTTGGTAAATTGAAATTACTCTAACCACAAAAATATATCATTTTCTCATAAACAGTCGAACGATTATATATATATATATATATTTTTTTGAGATCCAGCGGGCCGCCATTGATGCACAGTAGAGATTGTATCTTTAGATCTCCGATTAGTCCTTGAGACCACCGACTAGTGCTGTCTGGTAGAGTCTCGTAGAGGACGTGTTAATAATGACAAAATATACTCTGTGTTTACTGGAACAGTCTTCCGCCCCACAACATTCCATAATCAAGTAGGCGCATATCTCTTGTTCCAATATTTTCATCCACACCTGGGCCGTATCTATATACTGTCTTGGTTTGGCATTGACGGTTCATTAGCGATGCTGCAGTTGAACGTCGGGCTAGCCTAGGCCCTGCTCAAGCTGGTCATAACGTTTGGTCTTCATCTTTACCCTAGCTGCACTGATGAGGCCTAGAAGGCCGAAACGGATCCGTCTGCAGATATTGGGATTTTTTCCAGTGAATATTTAGTTTGTTTTGTCATTCTTGATCGGATTTTCTCTACTGTTCCGTTTAAACTTTATATTATCATTATTTGCATTTATTTGGCTGCTCGTTGTTTTTATGGGTTTATCCCATTTACCATTAAATTTATATATAT